ACCCTAGGTGATATTGTCTATGCAGGTAAAACCAGATTCATGGCTCACATCTGTTGAAAACTGTTTCATTTCAGTTAGACTTTTATAAGCTGATCCAAACACAGAAATAGTAACTTGATGAGCAGAACTATAGACAAGAATCAAGGAGCAAACAAAACAAATAAGTGATGTCTATGAGTGGTCCAAAGATCTCTCTCTCTCTCTCTCCCGCCCCCCCCCCCCACGCGCGCACACACACACGGACACACGCACGCGTGCACATGCAAACACACACAAACTTCATCTGTGTACTTTATTCATGAAAGTATCCCTCAAATTCTCATTTAGTGTTCATCACATTTTGATTGTTAGCCTAGTAACTTTTGGTGAGTCTCATACAATTTCAATTTCTTTTTTTTTGTGAAATAAGAGTTAACTACTTTTTGAGGGTATCCTAAGTCCAGAAATTTTTTTAGTTCTTTTCATCTCTCTTACCTACATTAACTTCTTCCTTGAGAAGAAAAGATGATGGATTTACTCTAAAGTAGAAGTCTTATTCATCTACAATGAATATGAAATTTCTAGAGCAGTATGAGGGACCAATATGAAAATAACTAAAATTTCCATATAATAACAAATTGTAAGAGCAAATTGGTGGTAGAAATGGGGGTACCACAAAACATTTTCCAGAGAAGCTTGATAGTGTGTGCTGCTGCTCAAGTTAGCACCAAGCTTCAGTGTTTAAAAACTCTAAAGTATAATGTTGGTCAGAAACGGCTTTGTTTACACATCATTCAAGGATCCAAGTTGATAAATGACATCTCAACTCTTAGTCATTGTGTTACAGTACTAGAGGGAACAAATAGAAGAAAACAAAGTTTCTCATCGGTCTTAAATCATTGATATTGCTAGTCCAGAAGTGAGGGACATAATTTCTCTTTTTTGGCCTATTAAGAGTTCATCCGATGTCTCTGTAAGAGGGTATGGAATGTGTGATGAATATATCAATATTCAATGAACATAAATGCTCCTGTTAAACCATATATGAGCTGATTTTGAAAAGGTAAATAAAGTCAGTCTGGTGATTGAAGAAAGAAGATATTAAAAAGAAACTCTACTGTGAAAGTGAAGTTATCTGTAGGGTAAAAAAGTAAATGATTAAAACTTCTCAACAAAATTTTGTCCAATCGACTTTAACAACTCATAAAAAAAAGTCATATACCATAATCAAACAGGATTCATTTCAGGGATGCAAAACTGGTTCAATATACACAAATCAATATAATTCATCACATTAACAAGAGCAGGGACAACAACTACATGATTATTTCAACAGATGCAGAAAAAGCATTTGACAAGATCCAACACCTTTATGATGAAAGCTCTGGAAAAACTAGGAATCCATGGAACATTCCTCAATATAATAAAGGCTGTGTATGACAGACCTGCAGCCAGCATTACATTTAATGGCGAAAAGTTAAAGACAACAATGTCTACTTTCACCACTTCTCATCAATTTAGTATTAGAATGCCTAGCTAGAGCAGTAAGACAAGATGCAAACATAAAGGGGATCCAAACAGGGAAAGATGAAGTAAAACCCTCTTTGCAGATGACATGATCTTGTATTTAAAGAACCCCATAGACTCCATTCCCAAGTTACTTGAGCTGATCCGAAACTTTGGCAAAGTAGCAGGGTATAAAATGAACCCTCAAATATCAGTGGCTTTTCTGTATGCCAATAACAAGAAGATCACGACTGAAATCAAAAAAGCAAGTACTTTTGCAAAGCCCTACAAAAAATAAAATACCTAGGAGTTAACTAAAGAAGGGAGGACCTCTATGATGAAAACTTTTAAAACCTGAAAAAGGAGAACTAAGGAAGTGGAAAACCTCCCATGCTCCTGGATTGGGAGGATTAATGTGAAAATGGCAATACTGCCAAAGGCTATATGCAAATTCAGTGTGATACCTATCAATATATCAATATCCCAATCTCATTCTTCAATGAAATAGAAGAAGCAACCCAAAAATTAATATGGAACAATAAAAGACCCCGAATAGCAAAAACAATCCTTAGCAGAAAGAACAGTGCTAGAGGAATATCAATACCAGATTTCAAACTCTACTACATAGTAATCAAAACAGCTTGATACTGGAACAAGAACAGACCTGAGGACCAATGGAATAGAACTGAAGACCCAGAAATGAACCCACAGACCTTTAGCCACCTAATCTTTGATAAAGGAGCTAAAAAATAGAATGGAAGAAAGACAGCCTCTTTAGTGCTGGCAAAATTGGTCAAACAACTATAGAAAACTAAAGCTAGATCCTTATCTATCACCTTGCACCAGAATCAATTCCAATTGGCTCAAAGACCTTGAAGTAAAAGCATACACCCTGAAAACATTATAGGAAGGAATAGTAGAAACTCTAAGGCTCCTTGGCACAGGCTGAAATTTTCTTAATAAAGACCCAGAAACAACAAATCAAAGAAAGGTTGGACAAATGGGATTGCATAAAACTGCAGAGTTTCTGCATGACAAAGGACATAGCTAGCAAGATCAATAGAAAGCCTACATACAGATTTGGAGAAGATCTTCACTAGCCATACAATGGACAAGGTCTCATATCTAAAATATACTTAGAACTCAAAAAAATTAACTCCTCCACAAATCCTCAAAGAACTGCCTGATTAATAAGTGGGCTAAAGACTTAAGAGAGACTTCTCTGAAGAGGAAATAAGAATGGCCAAATAGACACATGAAGAAATGCTCAACTTCTTTGGCCATAAAAGAAATGCAAATCAAAACAACATTGAGATTCTACTTCACTCCAGTTAGAATGGTTGTAATCAAGAAATCTAATAACAGATGCTAGATATGGCCAAAAGGGAATCCTACTGAATTGCTGGTGGGAGTGTAAACTTGTTCAACCACTTTGGAAAGCAGTATGGAGGTTCCTCGAAAGACTCCACATAGAGCTCCCCTATTACCCAGCAATCCCACTTTTGGGCATTTATCCAAATGATCACAGACAAGACCATACTAAAGCTGCCAGTACAACTATATTTATCACAGCATTATTTACCATAGCTAAGATACGGAATCAACTCAGATGCCCCTGAGTAGATGAATGGATCAAAAAAAATGTGATATATATATGTATGTGTGTGTGTGTGTGATGTGATATATATATGTATGTGTGTGTGTGTGTATATATATACACACACACACACATACATATATCACATTTTTTTATATATATATATATATATATATACACACACACACACAATGCAATTCTATGCCTCCATCAGAAAGACTGACACCGCCCCATTTGTTAGAAAATGGAAAGACTTGGGAAAAATTATATTAAGTGAAGTAAGCCAGGCCCAAAGAAACATAGGTCCTATGGTTTCCCTTATTTGCAATAACTAGTATATATCTAGGACAAGCAGAAAAGGTGAAAAGCTATGTACGTATGACCATATAAGATGATGCTAAGCGAAATGAACCCCAAGATAGGAACACAAGAGGTTTCATCTTTGTTGCTATTGTTTTAATGTATTTTTGATGTACTATGTGATTTTTTTTGTTTCTTTTGTATGTTCTTCCCCCATGGTATAACCCCTGTTTTCACTGTATTTGATTCTTGTATATACATCTTGTATATACATTTTTCTAATTTGGGGAGGGGAAGGAAAATAACAAAATGCTGAAACAAGAATACAGGTTGAGCCAGGAGCCTGTGGCTCACACCTGTAATTCTAGCTACTTAGGAGGCTGAGATCTGAGGATCACAGCTCAAAGCCAGTCTGGGCCCAAAAGTCCGTGAAACTTATCTCCAATAAACCACCAGAAAACCAGAAGTGGCGCTGTTGCTCAAGTGGTAGAGCGCTAGCCTTGAGCTGAAGAGCTGAGGGACAGCACTCAGGCCCAGAGTTCGAGCTCCACGACCGACAAAAAAAAAAAAAAAAGAATACAGGTTGACCCATTGTAACAATGAGATGTACAAGACACTATGTTGGAAGGAACTTTATCACTTCAGGTTGGGGGAGGGAGGAGTTGGAGAAGGGGAGAAGGAAGGGATGGTAGGGGAAAAACAAAGGATGGGGTAACAATGCTCAATAGGAAATGTACTCATTACCTTGCTCATGTAATTGTAACCCCTCTGGTACAATATCTTTACAATAAAATATATATTAAAAATAAAAATCTAAAAGTAAAAAAATAGTAAATGTTTAGTTAGTCTAACAGACTGGAAGCTGGAACATTCGCATATGAAGATCTAAAAGCCAGGAATAAGTCCTGAGACAGTGGAATCTTTCACTGTCTACATTATTTGGTTTATATGAAATACAGATTAAATATGTATTATGAATTTGGTGGAAAACTGTTAATGGATAGTTTATAGTTTAGATTGCTCTATGAGCCAAGAATCTAAATACATGCAAAAATGACTAGAAAAAATAAACTCTAAAAAGATTTTTATCTTTTTTTTTTATCTGAACTTTTTAAGTTGTATAAAAACATTAGAGTTGTGCAGCAGAAGCATGCTGGGCCCATAAACTTGTATTAAAATGACAAGAAAGACTTCACTGAAATCAACCAGTGAAATATCACATTCATGTAAATTATTAAAAACAATATTTTAGGAGGTTACAAAAATAGTGTATCTAAATATATAGTTAATGGCAGTTAACATTAGTGGAGTATGTACTGTATTATTTTGTATTATTGTTTTGTATGAATTATTTTGTATGAATTGTTTTGTTAAACCCCCTGCTGTCTCTAAGGGTGATTATTCTCTTTACAAACTAGTAGTTTGTAAGAAGTCAGTTTTCATGTATCTTAGAATACTTAAGATAATTTGGTTCTAGCAAAGGTAAATCAGTTGTAAATCATCAGTTTTATCTGTCACTTATTAAATGTCCTCTTATAAATGTTTTGGATTTATGCAATAAAATAATTTAATTACAGAAAGTAGGAGTTATACTGCAATTTTAACTTTTTTTTTTTAGTGTTTGGACAGAGGTGCCAAAGGCCAAATACCCACTTTCAGCAGTTTTGTTTCAACTGTTAGCCAGAAGAAAGAAGCTGAAAATAGAAGTTCACCTACACATCTTGTTTTCCCTAACATCAAGAATGGTAATAGTCTCTCTCTCTCTCTCTCATTCTCTCTGTGTATATATACATATATATGTATATATATAGATATATATAGATATATCTTGGCTAAGAATGGAGTATTCAGCTATTTAAAAGTTAGATTTCAATTACTCATATTTGTTCTGAGTGAATAAACTAGGTAAATATGTACATAAAGAAGCAAAATCATTTTAGATCATTGTTACCTAAAGTAATAATGAAATAAAAACTCATGAATAATAAGTTTGATTAGAGAACCAACTACAATAAGACTTTTATATGTCTTTTTATTGTACAGTTAAGCAGCCTTTCCATCACTGTGACAGATGCTTGAAATAACTTAAGACTGAGTTAATTTGACTCAGGGTTTCAGAAGTTTCAATCCATGTACAGTAGGCTCTTTGATTCTGGGTTGTTAGTGAGGCAGAACATTATAGTGGGAAGGCTGTGGTAGAAAAGAACTTTCCACTTCATGGTAACCAGGAAGCAGAGCAAGAGGCAGGAAGAGGCTAGCGATAAGAAGCTGAGATTGGGAGGATTGTAGTCCCAGGCTAGTCCTAGCAAAAATGTTCTCTAGACCCTATCTCAACAGAAAAATCTGAGCCAGGGTAGTTTTTGTCTGTTATTCCAGCTCTGTGGAAAGCACCAATAGTAATTCTCAATACAGAATATCCTGGGCTAAAAGTGAAACCATATCTCAAAAACAATCAGAGAAAAATAGCTGAATATGTGGCTCAAATGGTAGTCTGCCTAGCAGTTCAAGTCCTGACTTTCCACCCTAGTACCTCTATTTAAAAAAAGAAAAAAAGAAAAAGAAACTAATAAGAACATTGCCATTAGAGAAGTCAAATAGATGGAGCCAAAGACTGTATGTAAATGGCATTAAATTTTTAAAAAAAGTATAATTAGGCCAATAGGATAACCACCTTTTATTTTATTTTTATTTATTTATTTTTTTGGTTGGTTGTGGGGCCTGAACTCTGGGCCTGGGTGCTGTCCCTCAGCTCTTCAGCTCAAGGCTAGCACTCTACCACTTGAGCCACAGCACCACTTCCGGCTTTTTCTGCTTATGTGTTGCTGAGGAGTAGAACCCAGGGCCTCATGCATGTAAGGCAAGCACTCTACCTTCCCAGCCCAAAGGATAGCCTCTTTTTTAAACTGGAAACATACTAGAAGAACATGTAGAATTTTTTTTTTCAAATGTGCAATTACTCACCAACCTAGTAATTCATCTTTTAGGAATTTAGTCTGAGGAAATAATGTGACATACATTTGCAAATATAAAGAATGAGGATTATTTATGAAAGTATTTGAGCCAACCTAAGTGAATTGATTACTTAAATTATGTTCATCTGTATTGTAAATGTTATGCTTCTAATGAAAAAGAATGTGATAAGTATATAAAGTGATTAGAAGAGCACTTACAATGCAATTATAAAAAATTTAAAAGCAAGCTATATAGTTAATAGCTAAAATATGACTCTGATTTTTTTTTTTTTTATGCCAGTTCTGGAGCTTGACCTCAGGGACTGGGCTGTCTCAGAGCTTTTTTGCTCAAGGCTAACACTCTACCACTTGGCCACAGCTCCACTTATGGTTTTTTGATGGTCAATTGAAGCTGGCTTAATAATCCTTAGATCTCAGCTCCCTGAGTTGCTAGGATTACAGGATTGAGTTACCAGCGTCCAAGAGATCTCTTATACTTTGAGCAAAGAAAGGTGCTTACAAATCTGTTACTGTTTTTATCAGGGAGGCTTGAGTGTAAATTAAAGTATAAATCAATCTAATTAAAGTATAAATCTATAATTTACCTATAAATCTATAATTAAAGTATAAATCTATCTTGCTTTATCACATGGAATATAAATTACTTGCGTATTTTAAGTGTCCCACACCATATAAAAAGACAAAGCTATCCTGTAAAGATCTTTTTGTAAGAAGCTTCATAAATACTCTGGGTTTTTAACTTGGGGTCCTATAAGCCTGAAATCAAGGTATGAGTTCAGTTGGGCTCTGAGCAAGAAACATTTCTAAACTTCTTCAGGTTGTGAGCAGAATATTTTCTTTGTGCTTTTAAGACTGATGTCCTATCACCTTGCCCAACTGTCAGTCTGGGATTACTCTTAGTTCCTGGAGACCACACCTACAGTTCTTTGCCATAACATAAGTCTTATAATATCAAAGCTTACTCTTTCAATGTAGTGTTGAATCCCCTTTATGATTCCTCTCTCTTAACTTTGTCCTCTAGAACACTGGAAGACATTGCTTCTAAAGGACTTGTGTGATTAGATTCTTACCTACCTGGATAGTTTCCCTGTTTTAAGGTCATATTTACAGGTTCCAGGGCTTAGAACCTAATTGTATCTTTTTTTGGGGGGTGGGGAGAGCACTCAGTCCAACTCACAATAGAGGGTTAAGAACCCTAAGAAAACTGAAATGCAAAACAAAAAAACTGAAATGCATGCAAGAAAGAATGATAGTGGTTTGAAAGTGGTAGATAACACAAACTTCCTTGTTTGGATTTTTTGTTCACATTCCTTAGCCTTTGATTCCACTCTGTGACTCCTCTCTACTCCTTTCTACACAGATATCTTGATCTCTGAATTTAGGTTGTAAACTCATATACCCACAAGTCTAGTTGTATTGACTCTGAATATGGTTTACTTATTTGAATTTCCACCACTTCTCTGCTTCTCTTTTTTGATGAATGAGACTTTAGATTAAGTCTTCCATACTTAAGCGTATTTGTAATTCTTGGATCATTTGAGAAGCTTTTCTTACTTGCCAAAAATATTATTTCCCCAGAAATGTATCATTCTTGGCCATTATTATAACTTTCTTCTTTTGCTGGTAGCAGAACCTATGCCGGTATTTTCTAACAGCTTGTCTGCCTTGTCTTCAAGTGATATTAGAGAGGCTGCAAAAACCTAGCGTGGGTTTACCTAACAGCTGAGGGATGCCTTTCCTCCCTGTACATCACATGACTAGATATGCCTGTCAAGTTGGCTGTCCTTTTAAAGATCTGAGAAATGTAGGAGTTTTACCTACTATAACAGCTGCTAGAGATGATACATCTTCAGAGAAACAATCTAAAAGATAAGTAATGTAGGAGTTGGGGGACATGTGGGGTGTAACACTGCATTTTCTCTTACTCTTTTATATTATTCTTTCTAAACTTACCATGCCTCTTTTCAGACTTATTTAAAACATTTTTAAAATAGCAGGGAACATATTTTAAAACATCAAAGAAATTCTTTCTCAAATCTTTTAAATATTTTTACATTCTTGGTAATTCAGAAAAGAATGGATATGAACTCTCACCTTTACCTTTCCTTGAGGGCAGTATTTCATTTGCAGCTCAGCCCATTTCATGAGTATTCTAAGTAGAGGCCTGATGTGAAGTCTATAATTTTTCAGACTCTGAAAAAATTTGCCGCCCTAAATTATTATAAACTCTCAAGAAATGCATCTTTGCTAAGGGAATTAGTGATTAGGTCTGGGTGGGTGGGGCCTGTGATCTATTTACAGGTAAAATAACAGACCTTCCCAGTTTCTAAGACTCAGGTACAAACATCAAACAAGCTGTTCTAAGAAATGAATCATAGGGCTTACTGCCTAAGAAAAAGTACTTGCTGCTTTAGAACCCTACCCTAGAAGTATCTCCAAGGCCTCAACCCTATCTCTAGTTTTCCTTGGAAAATGAATAGATTTTGAGCCAAATTTGGAAGATCTTTTCCTAGGTCACAGTGAGTGAATACTTTTGGTTTCGGCTTTTCCGAAGAGGTATCTCAATGAAGTACTTAAAGTATTTTGCTATGTTTATTCATTTTCTTATCTATCCCTTTACTTAATCTATATGATCCTCAAGATTTTATTTCAGAGAAGGAACAGGTTACCTTTTTACATTAAGTCTAAGGGTTTTGTTTTGTTTTGGGAGGGGGGGGTTGTTGTTTTAATGTGTATGCTGGTCCTTTAATGTGTATGCTGGAACTTAAATTCAGGGCCTAGGTGCTGTCCCTGAGCTTTTGTAAGCCAAGGCTAACGATCTACCACCACTTGAGGCAGTGTTCCACTTTCAGCTTTTTGGAGGTTAATTGGAAATAAGAGTCTCACAGACTTGCCTGCCTGAGCTGATCACAGTCTTCAGATCTCAGCTTCCTGAGTGAGTAGCTAGGATTTATAGGGATGAGCCACCAGTACCTGGCAAATCTAAGTTTTTGAGTAACATTTATATGTTTCAACAATCAAAACTATAAAAATATAATTGGTTCAGATGTCTGTCACACTCCTCCCCGCTGTCCCTTGAATTCTTTCCTGTTTCTGTATGCAACAACACATTTGCATTTCCTTCCTTAAAAAAAAAAGAACCACATGCATTATTATCCAGCACCTTGGTTTTTTTCAGTTAGTATATTCAAGATATCTTTCTATATTAGAATACACAAAGTTTCCCTATCCTTTAGCACAACCATATTCCATATACCATTTTATTAATACATTAGAATTTATTCATACTTCTGTTTAAGTTGTGTCAGTTCATTTGTTATTATAAGCAACATCACAATGAAGAATTCCATTTATGACATTGTGGTCACCTATAGTATGTCTATAGACTATTCCTGGCAGTGTGTCCGATCTTACAGTAAATGCTTTGGAGTGGGGAAGGCAAGGGGGAAGTACCAGTACTGAGGCTAGAACACTGGGCCTCGCTCATACATAGCTTTTTCTGCTCATGGCTATTGCTCTACCACTTGAGTCTACTTCTAGCTTTTTTCTGGCTAACTCAACATAAGAGTCTCAAATATTTGTCTGCTTGGACTGGCTTTGAATCTTAATTCTCAGATCTCAGCCTCCTAAGTAGCTAAGATTGTAAGCATGAGCCACCAGTGCCTGGCATTTCCAGATTTACAGTGTCCTTCAGTTTGGAATCCATCAGTCTCTAGGAAGCAGCATCTATGGTACATGTAGCCTGTACACTAAAAATTTACTGAAGGAAGAAG